ACGATTTTCCTGCTTTTCCATTTTTACGAAAACCACAGAGGCGTCTTGTTCAGCGTGCTGTCAAACCTACACTAGCAAGGAGATCGGGCTGAAACTATAGCTACAAGCTATCCAAGGATGGTACTATAGAATGTCACCTCAAGGTAGGCCTAGTGGCGTCATCTCTTGGTTAGGCCGGAAACTTATCAATCCACCCTCGTATATTAAATGCACAATTTATTTAAGGTACTTAATTGGATAAGAATTAATGCTGTATTGCCTGCAATCGCTTCGTAAGTAAGTCATTATTTCTCATAAAAAGTAAAGGATAAAAATGGTTATTGTGGGTTATCCGTAAGAGATAGACATATACCACAGGGGGTCAGATCTGGGGAATACGGTGGCTGCGGCATTATTAGTGGGTTGTTTTTGGTCAAAAATTCACTCACATGCAATGACGTGTGACCAGATGCGTTATCATGGTGTAAAAGCCACTTTTTGTTCTTCCACAAATCCGGGCGTTTCTGACGGATTGCTTCGCACAAATTACTCATAACTTGCAGGTAATATCCCTTATTGACAGTTCTACCCTGTGACAAGAACTCATGATGCACCATATCCCTACAATCGAAGAAAACTGTAAGCAAAACCTTCACATTCGACCTAACTTGGAGCGCTTTTTTTAGGTCTTGACTCGTGCGGCAGCTTCCATTGGGATGATTGAGCTTTGGTTTCCACGCCATAACCATAAACCGATGATTTGACAGCAGTTACGACCCTCTGGAGTAAATTTGGGTCGGCGCGGGCAGAGTCCTACAGCTCCTTAGCAATGTTAATGCGATGCTGTTTTTGGTCGAAATTGAGCAATTTTGATACGACTTTCACGGCGACCCGTCTCATGCCCAAATCATTGGTAAAAGTCGAATGGTAGGAGCCAATCGATATGTTTAGGTCCTCAGCACCTTCTCTAACGGTGATTCGACGATTGGCCAATGCTGTTTACTTCGCTTCATCAATGTTTTCGTCTGTTGTTGACGTGCTCTTTCTTCTCTGCTTTCTGAGAACATTTTGTACCACGTGGCTTCAGTCCAAGGTAGTTTCACCATATGCCACAGTCAAATCAAAATTTGATAGAGATTCTGCGATCCATTTTTTTGAACAGATGAAAATCGAAGAATTCGAGATACTTTTTTAACATACCTCGTATATACCAGGACTAAAATCACCGACCGACGTATTGTTTAGTGTAATTCACTTATTTTCCCGATCGTATTTTAGCATCATTGGGGAAAACTGGTCATCATATGTCCACATCGATCGTTTACCCTGCGGTTCCCAGGCGGCCGGCCGCCAGACACAGAAACCCACCCCGCGCGTCCACCACCCCTATTTACCCTAAAACAAAACGCTAATAATAAAAGCCCCTGCGAAAAACCGCCACAACAACGAACAACAAATTTGCCTATGTTTAATATTCAATTAAAATTTTCCAGTTTGATTGGCACGCACCCATATCAAAAAGGCACAAACGGAAGAACAAAGACGTAGTACTACAGAAACGGATGTGCGAAATCGCGTAAACAGAAGAAAACTGTACATCGACGATGCACATGTACTTAATTGCTGTTAATTACTTTTTATATTTCCATCTATAAATGCGATTTCAACCTCTCTATTCTTGTGAACATCAATGGACACATTTATGTAACTCCATAGGGTCACTGAAGGCACGCGCCCACTAATATCTAGATATGTATTTGTTTAAACTGATTACAGAGATTCCCTAAGTAGATCTTTGGTAGGTAGTTCTGCATAGAGTGGGGGTAGTTTAGTCATTCATAACGCCCCACGAATTAATCGTTACTATTGATTGATAAAATTACGCTGAATGGGGTCACGTAATATCGATTGCCCCAATGATAACGGAAACTGCACTCTATCGACTTATATACAATTTGGATTTAAACTAATGTTATCGTAAATAACAATAGACAGCCAATACAAATCATTTGTAGAAAATTGACTACTAAATTATGAGTTCATTAACGTTTAAGGCCCTTTTTGATTAGTTGCAAATCCCTACAGATGGAATTTAACGCTGTTAACGGGCGAATATAGATGATGTTTTGTTAGGGTTATCTAAGGCGTGGTGATGAAATTCACGTTTGACTTTGTTTCACACCGTCTAAAATCACCGAATCACAGCGGTACTGACAAAACAGTAGTGTATGAAAATAAATAAAAGTAATACAAAAATCCTGGTATGCAAGGGAAGGGAAAAAGTAGGGAAAGAGCGAATGTAAAGATAGGAGAAGAAAGATTAGAAGAAATGATTGATTTCAGGTATCTAAGAAGTCAGATAAGGAAGGAGTAGCAGGGATATAAAGCAGAGGATAGCGCAGGGTCGAGTCGCCTTCAATAACGAACGAACGGTTAATTTAGGAATTCGAAAAAGGTTGTTAAAGGTGTATGTTTGGAGCGCGGCGTTGTATAGGTGCGAAACATGGATGGTGGACGCTAGGGAAAAGAAAAGGTTAGAAGCGTTCGAAATGTGATGTTACAGGCAAATGATGAGGATACCGTGGATAGATAAGGTTAGAAATGAAGGGGTTTTAGAAAGAATAGGAGAACAGAGGGCTCTATGGAAGTCAATAAGAAATAGGCGAGTAGGACACCATCTCAGGCATAAAGGCCTAGTCAGAGACATATTAGAGGCAGAAACAGGAGTTAGGAGGGGTAGAGGTAGACCTAGATTAGATCACTGTTCACCAATAGTTAAGGATGTGGGTTGTTCCAGTTTTAGGGAAATGCGAAGTTTAGCTTAGGATAGGAAAGAGTGGAGGTGCGTGTCCAACCAGTCTTAGGACTGACGACCTTATGATGATGATGATGATAAGTATTTTTACAAATATTATCTGCCTTAAATTACAGACGCTTCGCTCTATCATCATCTTATTCTTCTATTCAATCCATGGCTCACAGAAATTACTAGATACTTTATTCGTGTGACCATACTGTAGGTACACACATCTTTTGTGACGTATTATACATACATTTATCCATGTATATCAATTTATCTGAAAGGATGCATGATATGTTTATAAAAGAGAGTGCGGCATTTACCGGGAAATCTGGATGCCATATCGGGTGGCACGGGAGTCACGCTTTAACTGCCACCGTGGCGCATGACACGGCTCATTGGATTACCCACCGTCCCTCAAATCGCTATCGGAACAGGACACTGCCAGAGGCCTCCAGCCCAGCCGTTTACCCTTACACTAGGCGATAGACAAAATCAAAATAAATCGCGATTTAAATCGCACCCAAATGACACTGAGTTCTCACGTAGCAACAAAAGATACAATGTCTACACCTATGTTAGGAATCCTTAACGAAAAAATACTTTTTTATGATTTAACAACCAATATAAACTCACTAAGAACTGAACAAATAAGAAGACATCATAGGACTTATATAACGATTAATACTTAATCATTTTGCTGACGTAAGAGGGTGAAAGTCAGCCGTGGAGAATGGGGTTCACGACGAGATGGTGAAGTCTACCTTCATCTCATCGTATTACATTAGGTATATACACATACAGGGTGCTTCAAAAAAATGTATACACACTTTGAACTTCCATAGAAAATTTATTTACCGTTCTACAAAGTTAAATTTCAGGAAAATAGAAAGCTGAAAGTCCAATGTAAATGAAACATAAATAACAAATGTTAATACTGTTCAAATTGGTGACCTACAGCATCAATACAATTCTGAGTACGAGTCACCACAGATTCTGTACATAATTATATCAAAACGTCCAATGAGATTTCTCTACACACTGCTTGAATCTCATTCCAAAGAATGTCTAGGTTACGTGGTTTACGTTTGTACACCTCATCTTTTACTGTGCCCCACAAGAAGAAATCCAGTGGTGTAAGGTCTGGAGAGCGTGCTGGAAACTCGATTGGCCCCCTGCGTCCTATCCACTGGCCCGACAAACCGCACCACACATTTACACCAGGCAAATTTACAGCTTTTTCAATTGTAATGTGAGGATTTTCTTCACCCCAGTAAACACAATTGTGCCTATTGACAGTTCCATTAAGTTTGAATTGGGCTTCATCTGACCAAATGATGCTACCCATAAATCCCGGTTCACGTATCACGTTTTGATACGATGTACAGAATCTGTGGTGACTCGTACTCAGAATTGTATTGATGCTGTAGGTCACCAGTTTGAACAGTATTATCATTTGTTATTTATATTTCATTTACATTGGACTTTCAGCTTTCTATTTTCCTGAAATTTAACTTTGTAGAACGGTAAATAAATTTTCTATGGAAGTTCAAAGTGTGTATACATTTTTTTGAAGCACTCTGTATTTGCGACGCTAGTTGAAACGTTAACGATTTTATACTACCCCATATTTGACCTTATGCTAAACGCTAAATTAATAAATAATCTCTTATTTACTACTTAGAATATAGTTCGGATTCCTCGGTCACAAACTGGTCTAAATATCTCGTAGATAACTAAATTCATTTTTGATAAAAACTTACCGAATGTATTCGATCGACAAGCTGATGGAGTCTCGCGGACTGAATATTGTTCGTTCGGTGTCTTCGCCCCTGTCCTCGGGGGTGGCTTTCGCCGCGGCCTCCGGGTGCTTTTGATAGAAACGTTGCCTGCGCAACATCTCGTTCAGAAACAATTCCGGAACGAGCTTGTACACAATGTCTTGGAGCGTTTTGTCCAATCTGAAACAAAGAAATTATTTTCGTCAAGACGATCAAAAGTAATTAGAGAAACTTGACGATTCCACCAACAAAAAAATTATCATTAGATACAAAGACAAATGTAACACCAGTGCGGTCACCTTAAATCTATAAATATGTTTATGGATAGACTAAATCATATATCATATTAACCCCGGAGAATAAATTTTGGATAAATGACCCTCCCTTCTGAAGTTTTTCGTGCAAATTCATCTCGCAGCATTATGTAACATGTCCGTAGAAGCATTAGACATCTCTTTAATAATCTTTCTTTTGAGTTTCTGGAAGTCAATAAAAAAAAGGCGAGACAGGTTAGTCGGTCACCTTCTCAGGCATAAAGGGCTAATCAGAGACATGTTAGAGGCAGACACGGGAGTTAAAAGGAGTAGAGGTAGACCTTGATGGATGTGGGATGTTCTAGTTTTAGGAAAACGCTAAGATAGGAAGGAGTAATGGTGCGTGTCCAATCAGTCTTAGGACTGACGATCTTATGTTGATGGTAAGCTTCTGGATGCTTGTTTGTTTATCAACGAAAATCTCAAAATGTGTGGCTGCATCGACCTCATTCTCAACCAGAGTTTCTGTAGAATGCAACTAAAATGATGCGATATCTAATGCTTTTTTAAGGCTTCAACTACTTCAATTTTGTATGGGTGAAGATTAAAGATAATTGTGCAAATTCCTGACGTCCGGACTTGTTTCCGGATTGAACATTTTGGATTATCGATCGATGCTTTTTAGTGTTCTTAATGATCCTTTATATTTGACATCGATAGCCAAGCATATTTACTCAAATTTATATACCCAGGCGTAACACGAGGGAATTCTGCTATGTTGACGAATTCGGAAATAGTTAGTAATCATTTTTGTAGATTCACGATCTATCATAGAAACACGTTACTCATCCTACCAATGCTTCATGATTATCAAAAGTTCAAGCTCCCGGGGACCAACTTGAACTTGGAAAAAGGTCCCACTAACTGGACACAAGTTAGGTTTGTTTTTTCCCCAATATTCCAAAGGATTCAGGACGAGTTAAAACCACTACCACGTCATCCAATTGCAAGTATTATAGTAGTTTGAAATACAAACAGGTACCTTCATTAAAATTACGTTTTCCAACTTGGTTCAGCATATTGATGCAAAAGAATACTTTCAGAGTTGCTACCTACAGGCGTAATCTGAACGATAAGCGCATTTCTCTTGCTCCTAACTACATTATCTCGTTCGACAATCTCTGGAGAGCGCGGGAAGGAGCAGGGATCCCCGCGGTGCCCAGGCGCGCACTCACGAACATATATACACACGTATATACGCGAACATATACATGTGCATATATCTATGTACTTTGTCGTAACAGCCCTCCCTTGATACATAGAGAGAAACACATAACACACGGACATTGGACATAGCAGAAACGCAATCTGTTGTCGATTTTTAAGTGGGTACATTAATTAAATATAGGTATAGAACTTATTAATACAAGTCGTCACGGTATCGATTGGTTAATTTTTAGATAAAAAACGGTTTCTATGTTTCTAACCATTTACTGTCAACATCAACATCATCATCATCAAAGGGTCGTCAGTCCTAACAAGATTAGATCATCCCTGTACTCCTCTTAATATGTCTAACTAGTCCTCTTCATGTCCGAGTAGGTGTCCTACCAACCTAACTCTCCCATTTCTTATTGCCTTCAATATCGCCTTCTGTTCTCCTATTTTTTCCAATACCTTCTCATCTGTATCCACGGGATTCTCATCATTCATTAGGGGAGACCGGGGATGGTTGAATAGTTTTTTACTGAATAGTTCATATTTTTTGTGTTTTAATGAATATAGACAAGAAAAGCATGTTAATTGATAGAAAATCTATTAACCTAATAAAAATATGTAATATTTAGTTCTTAGTTTAGTATAATAGTGATGATTTAATGCATTTTACAAAATATTAAATCTTAGTCAATCTACCCCTGGCCCGGGGTAGGTAGACCATATGCCCGGGGTAAGTTGACTCATGTACCAGTAAGAGTCAAATCATGAGAAGGAGCAAATAATTAAACATTTT